ATCCAGAAGATAGAGAAAACTATAAAGAAATTTAAAAGTACCCACAATTATAGAATCCAGAAATAACAATGGTTAATATTTTGATGTGTGTAATTCTAGTTGTTTTTTTTTTTATAGCTTTGTTTCCAAAACCAAATAGCTGGTATCACAGTGTAACAGTTTTTTGCTTGCTTCTGTTGTGAACCATTTCCCACCTCTGTCAGCAAAGCATTTTCCATGAGACTTTACAGCCGCTTGGTATTTCATTATATGTATCATCGTTGATTTAGCTGGTTCCCTATTCCGGGTGTTACTGCTGTTTCTATTTTTCACTGTTATAAATAGGGCAGTGATGAGTATTTTTTGCACACCTCTGAGTATTTCCCCTGGAAAATTCTGCAAGTGGTGCAGCTGCGTCACAGGGTCATCATTGGCAGGTCCAGCCAGAAAGCTTTCTTGAGAAGCGTGCCCTCCCCTGCAGAGTATGGGAGCTGCACGGACTGAGCTTTATCATGTAGTGACATCATCCTGATGCCATTGAAAGGCTAAATGTTCCATGCAGCCAATCTAAGCTGGTGTGCATGTGAGCTGTGGGTACAGCATGCACCCCTGTGCCTCCTGGACTGGCACTCCCGTCAGCCTACCTGCTCAGCAGCCACCCAGGCTTGTGACCCTTCATACGACTGGAGTTTCCAAGGATGGCATCTATCCCAGAGGGCATCAGTTGCCAAACACTCTATGAACAACAGAAATTGCTTGGACCCTGAGTCAGGGCCGTTGGACACAGTGAGCCTTTAAATGGGCAGCAGGCTTCTTTGTTCTGATGCCAGCAGGCAGGCAGGCAGGAGACTGGGTTCAATGGCTAGTGCCAGGCCTGTGGGTCAGCTCTGGATTGACACAGCTGATCTAGGGTCAGTGTTCTAATTCTATCCCAGCCTTCATCCTGTGCAGTCTGTGTTGCCCCATGTCTCCACATGCGTGACTAGAGAGCCAGTGTCCCTGACCCAGGGCTCTTGGCTCTGGGCAGAGGTAGTAGTGATGGGGGCAGGTGGATGGCCTCTTCTGTACAGTGGCTGGTGCCTTCCTATGTGACTACCACTCATGGTAAGTGTAGCCAGGAGGCTTCTAGCCTGTCATTTCCTGGCTTCCATTTCCTTGTCTGTAAGATGGGCCACTGAAGAGCTGTGGGGCCCATGAGACAGATGCTGAGTGTGTGGCTGACCTATGGGGTGAGGTCCTCAGGGGAAGGACCTGGAATCACTGGGCTGGGGTGTGGACCAGCTGGAGTGGAGGGGGGAGACAGACCTGCTAGGATCCCTAAGGAAGCAGGTGCAAAGGCCCACAGTATGATAGATGGCATGACGTGGATGGGCCCCGGGGGAGGCTGTAAGTGAAGGTGCTTCCTTCTCCACTCTTCCTGCTGCAGGTTGGCTTCCTGAAGATCCTGCACAGGTATGAGATTACCTTCACTCTGCCCTCGGTGCAAAGGCTGAGCAAGGACATCCGAGAGGCACCTGTCCCCAGCCTGCACCTGAAGCTCCTCAGCATCATGCCTGTCCCAGAAGGTGCGTCCCAGAGGGTGCCGGAGGCTTGTCTTCCTCCAGTAGGGCCTCGGTGTGAGTGGGAATGAGAACATGGGGTGCTCCTTTTCTCCCATGTAGGGTGGACAGTCAACTCAGCAGCCAGGGACATGATACCTCTATACGGGCTTGCGGTGTGGCAACTTGGCAGGTGCCATGCCTCAGGCCTCACCCCCTGGACAGAAGCCCATGGGCTCACACTGTTGGCCTATGTCTGCCCATTGCCTGATAGTTTTCTCAGCGGTATGATGGGAGCTACTGAGGAACTGGCTCTGGACCTCCAGCCCTCTCTCCATCATTTTCCTCAAGAAAAACCTGCTGGAGCCTCAAACTGCACAGCTCCCTCCTAGCACTCACCTGGGCTTTGCTTCCCTCTACCCTGCTAGCTTCAGCCCCCACCCTCTCCATAGGCTGGGGTGTCAGTTTCACTGTGTGCTGAAGCCCCAGCTTCAGTTACATGTCCCCTACCTCCTCATGACCTTGCCCTTAAGTGGACTGAGCAAACTCCTGCAGGCCTTTGCCTCTTGCCACCTGATCTGCTCAAGTCCTGGCCTGCCCACCCCCCTTTCCTATCACTCCCTCTCCTTGCCTGCTTTTTCTGGGAATCAGCAGGCCCTCCTGGAAGCCTAAGTTTGACCCTTGGAACCTCAATGGGGTGTCCCACAGGCCCGAGGCATGTAGAGCTTATTGAAGAATGGGAAGTTTCAGACACTTGTGCCCCAACCCTGGGGGCATGGGTCCTGGGCCATGCTTGCTCCTTTGGAGGAGGGGGGCCAGTCTTGGTGGTGGGTGGGGGCCAGTGAGTGCTGGGGGCAGGGGCAGGAGGCCATGGAGGTGCTCATTGCCCGGACAGGTTACAGCGTCAAGTGTGAGTACACAGCGCACAAGGAAGGCGTTCTCAAGGAGGAGATGCTGCTAGCCTGTGAAGGTGGCGCAGGCACCTGTGTGCGAGTGGTGGTGCAGGCACGCGTCATGGGTGAGAGTGCAAGGCGTGTATCTGGCTAGGAGGGGGGAAGTGCTACTTTGACCAAAAGGGGATTCTGCCTTCCTCCCGTCTGAAAAAGGGATCCTTGCCCTGGCTGGGGTCCCCCACCTCCTTGGTGAGTGTCTTTCTCTCCACCCCCTAGTAGAGCCCAGAGAGAAGGTGGAGGGGTCCCCTTGGAAGGTGGGGCCAGGGGTCCAGCCTGGCATACTGACTTGTAGCCTACCTTGCAGACCGGCACCATGGCACACCCATGCTGCTGGATGGTGTCAAGTGCGTGGGTGCTGAGCTAGAATACGACTCGGAGCACAGCGACTGGCACGGCTTCGACTGAGGCCCACGCCCCGGCCCGCTTCGGGGCCCCTCAGCCTTAATCTCCACCTCATCCCCCTGAATGCTGCATGACGGTGTGGCTTCCTCATCCTTCCCTGGGGTGGGCATGGGGGGTGTCTAGGGGCCTCCAGCTGGAGCCTCACCATGCCTCACCTCTGCCTTCACTCATGCCACCTCCCTGCCTCTCCTGTGTCCTCCCCTTCCCAGTTCCTCCTTCCTCTCCATGTGCCTCAGTCTCCTTCGGGAAGAAATGGGTTGAGCCCCCAAGGAGGCTATCTGAGGAGGGGTGGGGGAGGGGGAGGACCTAGGGTGGGTTTTATCTGCCCCTCCCTACTGCAAGCCATAGGAGCTCCTGCCAGGGCCTGGGAGAGGGAGCTGGCTCTGATGTCATCCCCATTACTGCTGCTGCTGTCTCATTTAAGCCACCTCTCCTGCCCCCTCTTGCTTTCCCACTGCTGTTCATGGTGAGTAGGAGGGAGGTGCAGTTCCCAGCCCCTGCGCCCAGGTGTGTGTTACTTGGTTTTTAAACAACTGGTTGGGATAAACCCTAAAGAAATAAAACTTTCAGTGGATACCAGAGACCGGTGGGAGTTTTGTTCTTCAGGGCCCTGAGAACACCCAATCCTTCGATGATGGGCTCAGGTACAGTTCTGGCTAAGCTCATACTTCTAAGAGGCAAGGGCACTGGCCACTGTGTGGTACCTAGTCCCAAAGAGCTATCTACAGGTGATGCATTTCAGGTCTGGGAATGGTTGCCAAGACAGCTTGGATGGGGAGGGCCTTCTGCCCAGGCAGAGAGAGGTCTTACCGACTGGGGATTGCTGTTTGGGATGCTTCACAAGGAGACAGCAGCACCCTCTTCTGGTCAAGTCCCAGCCACATGCACAGATGAAAGCTTTCTCATTTTTTCTGCAACCCAGGCCCCCTCTACTAACGACTGGGGTCCCCTCTTGTGAGGTAACCAGCATAAATGCTTTATTGTCACTTTATTGTCACCTCAGGCAGGTAGGGGCTGTTGCATGTCCCGGGCGGGCATAATGACACATTGGCAGGGCTGAGACCAGTCCTTAGTGTTCCCTTTGTCTGCCTGGTGCCCCTCCCCCATTTTGTGGCTGGGATAGGGTTCAAGTGGGTCTTTCACAGGTTGCCCTTGGGGCCATCATCTGCCCTGAAGGAAAGCCCACCCCCAGCATGCTACCCCCACATTCCCTCATAAGTGCCTTCACCCTGTGTGCACCTTCTCATTAGCCTGCTATTGCCCTTTCTACAATTAACAGTCATACTTGAGTGGCCAGCACCACACCCAGGCCACCCGTCCCTCCTGTGTCAGCTTCCAGTCGTTTTTGTGTGGCACAGGGCCGCTCCGCCCTACTCCCTGTGTGGGCTGAGCCCTTCAGTCAGTGCAGGGGGCCCAGTCCCGGCAAACCTTCCTTCTGCTGCCCCTCCCGTGTGGCCTAGCCTGGCCTCCTCCGCCTAACTGCACCCCCACCCCCCAATTCGGGCCAAGGCCCAGTCTTCTGGAGCAGTCCGCCTTCGGAGTCACGCGTTCCTGTGGGCGTGCCGACCAAGCCTCCGTGACCCCAGTCCTTGGCAGAGCCCTTGAGCCTTACAGTCAGTGAACCAGGGCTCAGTCCCAAAGCCAGAACCTCTGCACGCGTCTCCCCCGCCCCT